AGATTCCTCCTCCTCCAATCCGTCAACCCAACCGGCCTCTACATCACCCTCCACCACTCCCTCCCCCACCTTAAATCCTCCCCCCTCGGCGGCCGGATAATCGTCGTCTCCCCGCCAATCTACTCCCGCTTCTTCCGCGGAAAAACCGCCTACGCAATCGGCAAAGTGGGCATGTCCGTCCTTGTCAAAGGCCTAGCAATGGACTTCGACCGAGAAGCCCTCCCGCTCCCTGACAAAAACCGCCAAAAAGGTATGGCCATCACCGGCATCTGGCCCGCCGTCGCCATCGAATCCGCCGCGACAGAACAGTTCACACGACGCGACCAAGAGTATAAACGGGATTTGAGAAAGCCTACTATTTTCTCTGACGCCATATTGGCAATTTTGGACGTGCCGGCGGAAAGGGTGAATGGGGAGTTGTTACTTGATGAGGATTTCTTACGGGAGGAAAGGGGTGTGACGGATTTTGGAAAGTACTCTCTGGTACCGGGGGCGAACCCAAAGAGGATTATGCCAGAGGTGTTGCCTGATTTGAGGGTCAAGGAGCAGGATGATGAGGGGATGAGGATTGATAGTTCCAAGCTTTGAACAAAGGGGTCAAGATATGGTACGAAATGAGAATTGTAAATCGTGTGTTAAATATTATTCTAACCAACTTGAGGTGGGTATATATAAAACTCCTAAACGCCCTTGTAAAAAAAATGATACAAAACAACTTCCCCCCCCCCTCCCTTAAACCTTCCCAGCCATCCTCGCCCTCCTTGCCTCCTCCTCCCTCAACGCCTCGCTCCTCGCCAAAAAGTCCTGTCTGGCCGCATAAGAGTCCTTGCTCTTCCCCGCCAGCTCCAGCTCATCCTTGATCCCCTCCTTATCTACAAACCCAGCCCAGTCCATCCTGCTCTTCTCGACAGTATTCAACTTCTTGGCCTTGGCCGCAGCAGCCTCTCTCGCCTTGAGCCTAGATGCCACCCCCAAGTTAAGATCGCTTCTCCTCTGACCCGTCGCCGGATCAATCGGCATCACCGGCTCAAACACGGACCGGAAAGCCTTTTTGAGTTTTCGGGTCGGTTCTTCTGATTCGGTCGTGTCCGTCCTCCCGGCCTGTTCGGCGAGGTAGAGTTTTGCCTCTGCTGATTCCCGATGGACGAGTTTCTCTTCTGTGTGGACCTTACCGGCAAAATTATACGTGCGTTTGATTTTGATGAGGTCTTTTTCCGCGGCCGTTTCCTTAGGTAGTTTTCCTGCTTCTTTTTCCTGTTGCTTTTTTTCTTGTGATGGTGGTGGTGATGGTGGTTGGGGTGCGGCGGCCTCGCTGGTCATTTGCGCCCAGAGGGAATCGACGTCGATGGTTACCGGGCCGGTGGAGACGGCCGCTCTTTTTACTGCTTTTCTGTAGTGATATTGTCAGTAATGAAAATGGCGGAGGGATTACCAGGTGGACTTACTCTACCGCACGCTGGGCTCTGGTCTTGATGAGCCCGCCCTCGCCTCCTTCGTCCTCGGCATCTTCTTTTGTTTGTCTCCTCTTTTTCTTTTTGAGACCCTTGGATATTATAGCTTCATCGCCCGAGTTTTCGAAACCGGCATCTTCTGCTGCATCGCCACCGGCAGGGCGTTTTCGTTTCGCGGTCGGTTTCGTAATCGCGTCTTCATCTTCATCGGCAGAAGCTGAAGATTCCTCTGCTGCTGGCGCGTTATCGTCTTCGGGGGCAAAGTCGGAGTCTTCTTCTGAAACATACTCCTCTTCGAGAGGGTCTACTTCCGGAGGCGCCATTTCGAACTGTGTATCTGCTCTTGAACTGGTTCGAACAATGATGGAAGGAAAGAAATAAAGTGGATCGCGTCCAAAGTTCCTCGGTTGCCTGCCGCGTTGTGCTCACCAACGGCGTGTCTTGGCGGTCGTAATGATGCCCCTCCCCCGCTTAGGTTTAACTCCGGGATTCATTCTCCTCAACAACACCGGCTGTTTGTGAAGAGCATCGGTTGCACATCATCTTCCGTGGGAACGGCCTGGGGTCTCTAAGCGATGATAGCACTATCAGTCTTTCCCGGACAAGTGAACCCGGCTCACGGGTCAAATCAATACCGCTATCTCGAAGCAGGGAAAGCTTGTCCTGCCCGTCGGTTCCGACATGTGTCAAGTTGTCCAATGAGATGTTGCTGGTTAAAATGGTAGGGCGTGCCCCGCATCTTGAAGCGGCCAGTCGTCGTCTTGGATCCGCCATGGCACGACGTGCCCGTGGAGTGTAGTGATCACGAGTCCGGGGATAAGGCATGAAAGTTCCTGCGGTTTGTAGCATAAAAGGAGGGGTGGGTGGTGGTGGTGGGAACTGTTGTGTGAGTTAGGAGGAGGAGGAGGTAGCTTCATCAACCCCCAGCTTCTCGTACGTTAGCCATCACATATCAAAATGTCAGCCCTCACGCCCGAACAAAAGGAGCACTTCCTCCAGCATGGCTGGGTCAAGTAAGCCATTGCCATGTCCTTTCTACTTGGCCCGTTCATTCCTAACTCCTTCCTCTATAGAATCGAGAACTGCTTCACCAGAGAGCAAGCAGAGACCATAACTTCCAACGTGTGGACTCGCCTGGGCATGGACCCCAACGACAAATCAACATGGCACACCCTCCGCACCAACATGCCCTCTCATTTTGACTTTGACTCGTCCACCTTTGCCCCCAAGGCCTGGGCAGCCATCTGCGAGATCTGCGGCGGGGAGGACCGCATCGACCCAGCATTCAAGTACTGGAAGGACTCCCTCATCGTCAACCTTGGAACCCCAGAAGGAGAAAACAAGCCTGTCCCTCCCGAAAACTTTCCCGAGTGGCATGTCGATGGGGACTTTTTCGTACACTACCTCGACAGCAGAGAGCAGGGTTTGCTTGTCACACCCCTGTTCACAGATATCGAGCATCACGGTGGTGGAACCTACATCTGCCCTCCTGCCATCCCCAAGATCGCAAAGCACCTGTACGAGAACCCAGCCGGTGTCTGCCCAAGAATGGAGCCCCGTGGCGCACCAAACTTCAACCAGCAAGAGAACCTGGACTGGTTCAACAACTGCGCCAAGAGCTGTGCTGGCGAACCGGGGGCGTTTGTCGAGGCAACCGGCAAAGTGGGGGATGTGTATCTGATGCACCCTCTCATGCTCCATGCGCCGTCGGATAACTCGCTCAGGAGAGTGAGAATCATCACCAACCCACCTATTGCGTTGAAGGAGCCGATGAACTTTGACCGGGACAATGAGGAGGAGTACAGTCTTGTGGAGAAGGTTACGTTGAAGGCGCTGGGGAAGGATAGGCTGCCGGGGTGGAAGATTACTGGGCCGAGAGAAGCAGTGACTCCGCTCAGGGTCAAAATCCAGGAGCAGATGAGACTGGAGGAGTTGAAGAGACTGGAGGGGTTGAAGAAGCAGGCTGAGCAGACCCAGACTGTTACTGCTGCTGCCTAAGACAAGCGGTGAAAGGCTTTGTACCCAAGTAAAGAGCAAGATAGTGTGTTCGCAGCAAACAAAATCAACAGACTTAAAGACAGATAAGACAAGATTAAAAAGCGAAACCCAACCAACCCCTGAATGTCGACATGATCAAGATCGCTTGGCATTTTGAGATCGGATCGCGGGTGCTCCCGCCAACCTGGCACCCCAGACGCTAAGACTTGGCGACAAACGCGCCAAGACGTTGTCAGACACGGTCCAACTTGAACGGTTAGATTTTAACATCCAGCACCCCTCGCTTTCGACGTCACACTTGGTCCTCACATCCCCAGCTCTTCCACCCTAGCTAAGCCCAACTACAGCCCAGAAATGGCCGACAGCGACAGCGACGACTACTGGGTCCAGGAGCCCGAGTTGGCTCCTAATGATCCCATGCGCAACTTCATGCCGACGTCGTTTGGCAAGACATCCAAAGAAGCAAACATTGCGGCGCAAATAGAGCAGACAAGAAGAAAGGTCGAGATACCACAGAAGGAAAAAAAAGAGAAGAAGGCCGCTTCTGACTCGGACAGTAACAGCGATTCTGACGACGATGATGATGACTCCGAGTCTGACGAAGAAGACGAAGCCGCAAGATTCCCAGTCAGCCACGAGGTTGTCTTTACCACCCACGACCGCGCCGTCACCAGCATCGCGCTCGATCCAGCTGGCGCGCGCATGCTGACCGGGTCACTCGATGGCACCATCAAGTTTCACGATTTTTCGTCCATGACGCCGACGACCCTGAGAGCGTTCAAGAGTGTGGGACCCGTGGGGGAGCAACAAGTCGGGCTCGCACAGATTCCCATCCGATCCAGCATATCGAGTTTAGTCGGCATTCAGGGCGGCGCATTCTTGTGTGTCACTGCGCCATCCACAAGCCAAGAATTATGTCGAGGGATGGCGATGTCCTTGACCGAGTTTGTCAAGGGGGATATGTACCTGCGCGACATGAACCACACCAAAGTAGCCATCGCTGGGTCGAGGTACACGACCTGGGACTATGGCACTGCCCTGCACCGATCAGAATTTCTGCATCCCACGACAGCGTTCTGACAGCACATTGAGAATATGGGACGTCAACAACAAGCGGAGTCAGAAGGAGGTTATTGTCTTCAAATCTAAAGCACCTGGGTGTGCTGGGCGGACAAGGATGACGGCGGTGGCATGGGGCGCTCCACCATCAGGGGGGGCGCCGGTCATCGTCTCTGCTGCGCTGGATGGGTCCTTGGTCATGTACAGTGGAAACGGGCCATTCTCACGACCAGCGGCGGAAATCAGAGATGCGCACAAGGCCGATACATGGACGGGCGGTATTGATATCAGTTCCGACGGACGGATGGTGGTTACTCGGGGCGGTGATGGGCTGATCAAGCTGTGGGACACACGCAAGTTCAAGCAGCCGCTGGTCAAGGTTGAGCACCCTTCCACCTCTGACCGTTACCCCATGTCCAACATCAAATACTCGCCAGATTCCTCGTCCATCATCGCTGGTTCGGCATCAGGGCATCTTCACATCTTGAACCCCGGAAACCTCAGGCCAGAGCACGTCACACCTATCACACCCGGTGTCCCGCTCATTGTGGTAGACTGGCACGAGAGGCTCAACCAAATCATCACGGGCTCTGCCAACTCCGAGACACATGTTCTCTACAACCCAGAAAAATCCCATCGCGGTGCCCTCGAGGTCATGTCCCGGGCCCCGAAGGTGCGGCACATCGACGATGACCCCTCCGCCATCATGGATCAAAGCTCGGGTATTTCTGGAGATGCCATCGTGGCACCAGGGGCTCTGGGAGGAACCAAACGGGGTGGTGTTACGACGTCCGGAAAGTCGAGAGACCCGATGAGACCTCAGATGCAGACCATCACACCGTTTATGCGCAGTCAGCCAGACGCAAAGCATATTTCGGAGAATATCCCACTGAGCAAGATGTTGCACGAGGATCCGAGAGAAGCACTGCTGAAATACGCAGATGCTGCCAAGAAGGATCCCATGTTTACCAATGCGTGGGCAAAGACGCAGCCGGTGACGCAGTATGCTGAGACGAGTGATGGGGAGGGGGAGGAGGGGCCGGATAGGAAGAGGGTCAAGAGGTGAAGAGATGGGGAGCATGATGATTTATGAGCATTGTTTGAGACTGTACATTGAATAGTCAGATACCAAGTGAATTAATTGATTGTTGCTCTCACTCATAACCCTGAGGAATCGTGACAGGGTTGCGTGTGGCCGGAAACGGCAAGTGGCATGGGGTGGCAGTGCTCCGACTGAAAACAGGGGCGGCACGGCAGCTATTAGGTAAGCCGGGGCGTACTAAAAATTGCGCAGGGAGCCTTGAGCACGGGGCCACCATCGCCCGCGCGCCATTCAATCTTTCTCGGCTCTTTGCTTCAACCTCTCCATCACTCAAGGGGTGACGGCGCGCATCAAAAAAATCACCAATCTACCTTTGCGATCCATCGAGGCCATCGTGAAATCGCCGACAAAACACGGGACGCGCTGTTCCCACCAACGACCACACGACACCCACACCGTCCCCCGCAACTTTTCGCGTCTTTCTCTTTTTTCACCACGCCCCGACCAGCCGCGGCCACTTCTTGTCGCTTTTATCACATCCATCCACCCACCCACCAAACCCTCGTTGCACCACCACCGACGCGACAACCACCGCGCTTCCACATCGACACAGTCGCTGTCCACACATAACACACCCACTCCCCACCCCCGGATCAGTTTGTCATCGGTTCCGTCGTCAACCCGGTCGCCCTCTCTGACGCGGCCGGCACTGGACCCAGCTTTACTTCGTGTCCAATACAGAGACGGAGCCCGCTGCCACTCGTTTGCCTGCCCTGTTCGCGACCACCACCACCACCACCATCGACATCCCACCACGGGGCTCCACTTCCGCGACCGCGACTCAGATATGCTCGCACAGTAAAGGAGCAACATAATTGAATTGACTTTTGGTTGCCCCTCCCGACCTCACTGCCGACATATCATGGCTAGTGTTCAGATGTCGCCCGCGGTCCAGCACCCTGGGTCTGCCGGCCCTTCGGGGATGAGCGCCCAGCAAATGCAGGAGCTTTACCATGTGCGCATCCCCTTTTGCTCCCCTGCTATAGAGTACAATGTATCTATTCGACCCTGTGCTGACCCCGTGTAGAAATATCAACAGATGAAGCAACAGGGTGTTCCTCCCAATGACCCCGAGTTTATCAAGACATCGCAAATGGTCGCCCAGGCGCAACGACAGTGGGAAATCATGAAGCAACAAGCACAAATGCAACATCAACGGCAGGCAATGCACCAGCAACAGAGACAACAGCAAATGCAGATGCAACAAATGCAGATGCAACAGCAGCAAATGGCCAACGGCGCCAACGGTGTGATGCCGGGACAGCCCAACCGTATGCCTCAACCCGGCGCCCCTCAAGCCACCGCGCCTCCATCATCAACTGCCCTGGAAGCCTCTGCTCTACCGGCGGGTGCCAATCCTATGGCGGCCAACCCTGCTGGGCCTCCCCAACCACCAAAACAGAACAAGATGTCTCTTTCACAGGACCAACTAGCCCTGCTCCGGGACCAAATTTTGGCCTTCAAGATGCTATCCAAGAACGCTGGCATTCCCGCAAACCTTCAAAAGACAGTGTTCGAGCGCCGGCAAAGACGCCAGCCTTCTACCACTGAACAGGAGATGCAAATATCCGCCGCCAACGCCGCCGCCGGTGTATCTTCACAGGACACCCCCAAGTCTGGTCCCAACGGCGCAGCCCCAGCCCAAGAGAGCACTCCCTCAGTGCCTAATCCTAAGGTGTACAAGACATTCAAGAGTCCTTATGATGGGAGCCTCGTGCGCAACACCATCTCTTACATGGATCACTCCCGTCGGAAGAATCGTCTCATAATACCAGGCGTTTTCCCGGCAGGCATCGATTTCGAGCAGCTGAGGACAGACCGTGAGAAGATTGTATTCAACCGGATGAGCGCCAGATATGCCGAGCTCAAAAGCCTGCCCGGCAATTTAGCTCACTGGGACGCAGCGAAGGACAGCCTGGAGGCGGACGACACCCTCAAGCGGAAAGCCATCATTGAGATGAAGTCATTAGCGCTGTACAGCAAGCAGCGCGCCCTGAGGGAGAAGATTGGCAAGCAAATGCTGCACTACGACAATCTCGCCATGACCACCAACAGAGCGTCGTACCGCAGGATGAAGAAGCAAAATGTTCGCGAGGCCCGCATCACCGAGAAGCTCGAGAAGCAGCAGCGCGATGCTCGCATCAACAAGGAGAAGAAGAAGCAATCCGAGTACTTCCAGGCCGTCTTCACCCACCGCAATGAAATCCTCGGCAATGCCCAGACCCAGCGTAACCACTCGACCAAACTCAACCGCCTCATGTTTGCTCATCATTTCAACATTGAGAAGGAAGAGCAGAAGCGCATGGAGAGGACCGCCAAGCAACGTCTGCAGGCTTTGAAGGCCAACGATGAAGAGGCGTATCTCAAGCTGCTTGACCAGGCCAAGGATACCCGCATCACTCACTTGCTTCGCCAGACCGATGGCTTCTTGCATCAGCTCGCCTCGTCCGTCCGTGCGCAGCAACGACAGGCTGCCCAGAACTACGGCAACGAAGACATCCCCGAGGAGAGCGAGCCAGAGGAGGAGGATGAAGAAAGCTCGCGCAAGATTGATTACTATGCCGTTGCCCATCGCGTCAAGGAGGAGGTCACAGCCCAGGCTGACATTCTTGTTGGTGGCAAGTTGAAGGAGTACCAGATCAAGGGCTTGCAGTGGATGTTGTCGCTCTACAACAACAACCTCAACGGCATTCTGGCAGACGAAATGGGTCTCGGAAAGACCATCCAGACCATCAGTTTGGTTACTTACCTGATCGAGAAGAAGCACCAGAATGGCCCGTACCTGGTCATTGTCCCTCTGAGTACACTTACCAACTGGAACTTGGAGTTCGACAAGTGGGCGCCCTCTGTCTCCAAGATTGTTTACAAGGGTCCCCCAAATACCAGAAAGCTGCAGCAGGAGAAGATTCGCCGCGGCGAGTTCCAGGTGTTGCTCACAACTTACGAGTACATCATCAAGGACAGACCGTTGCTCAGCAAGATCAAGTGGTTCCACATGATTATCGATGAAGGTCACCGCATGAAGAACTCGAATTCCAAGCTCAGCGCCACCATCCAGCAGTACTACAGCACTCGTTTCCGTCTCATTTTGACCGGCACCCCTCTGCAGAACAACCTGGCCGAGTTGTGGGCCATGCTCAACTTCGTCCTTCCCAACATCTTCAAGTCAGCCAAGACCTTTGACGACTGGTTCAACACACCCTTTGCGAACACTGGTGGCCAGGACAAGATGGAACTCACGGAAGAAGAACAGATTCTCGTCATTCGTCGTCTGCACAAGGTTCTGCGTCCCTTCTTGCTGCGTCGTCTCAAGAAGGATGTCGAAAAGGATCTCCCAGACAAGACGGAGAAGGTCATCAAGTGCAAGTTCTCCGCCCTGCAGGCTCGTCTCTACAAGCAGATGGTTACCCATCAGAAGATTCTCGTCAGCGACGGCAAGGGTGGCAAGACTGGTGCTCGCGGTCTCAGCAACATGATTATGCAGCTGCGCAAGCTGTGCAACCACCCCTTTGTGTTCGATGAAGTTGAGAACCAGATGAACCCCATGAGTGTCAGCAACGATTTGCTGTGGAGAACGGCCGGGAAATTTGAGCTTCTCGACAGGATTCTGCCCAAGTACAAGGCCACTGGGCATCGTGTTCTGATGTTCTTCCAAATGACCGCCATCATGGATATCATGGAGGATTTCCTGCGTTTCCGAGGGATTCAGTACCTGCGCCTCGATGGTACAACCAAATCAGAAGACCGTTCTGATCTGCTCCGCGACTTCAACCGACCCGACTCGCCCTATTTCATGTTTTTGCTCTCCACCCGTGCTGGTGGTTTGGGTCTGAACCTGCAGACCGCCGATACCGTCATCATTTACGACTCTGATTGGAATCCTCACCAGGATTTGCAAGCTCAGGATCGTGCCCATCGTATCGGTCAGAAGAACGAGGTCAGGATTCTTCGCTTGATCAGCAGCGCCTCGGTCGAAGAGAAGATTTTGGAGCGTGCCAGATTCAAGCTTGACATGGACGGCAAGGTCATTCAGGCCGGTCGTTTCGACAACAAGTCTTCCGAGACGGATCGCGATGCCATGCTGCGGACTTTGCTAGAGACGGCGGATATGGCTGAGGGCGGTGAGCAAGAAGAGATGGACGATGAGGAGCTCAACATGATCTTGGCCAGAAATGACGACGAGCTGAGCATCTTCCACAAGATGGATGAGGAGAGGTCTCGGGATCCCATCTATGGTACGAAACCAGGTTGCAAGGGCGTACCGCGTCTCATGGCCGAGAACGAGCTTCCGGAAATCTACCTTACCGAGGGTAACCCGGTTGAGGAAGAGGAGGCGGTTGTTTTGGGTCGTGGTGCCCGTGAGCGCACCAAAGTTAAGTACGATGATGGGCTCACGGAGGAGCAATGGCTCATGGCTGTTGACGACGACGATGATTCACCCGAGGCGGCTGCTGCCCGCAAGGCCGCTCGCAAAGAGAGGCGGGAGAACAAGAGGAAGGGCCTGCTTGGCGGGTCAATCGAGAACTCCCCATCAGCCAGTCGCGCTAGCACCGAGGAAGTTGAGACGCCAGTCAAGAAGCGGGGCCGCAAGCCGGGCAGCAAAAACCAGGAGAAGCGCAAGGCGGAAGAGGGCGACGAGGAGCCGCCAGCCAAGAAGAGACGTGGACCACAGGGACGTACCAAGTCGCTTGGTGCCAACGGCTTATCGGGCGGCGGCATGTCTCCCGCCGTGAGGGAGAAGCTGCAGAAGAGCCTCAAGCGGGTCTACGACGGGCTTATGGACCTCGCCGTGGACGACGACGAGCCGGTGCCAGAGGACGAAAAGGACGACGACGATGGTCCGGCTAAGAGGCTGATCATCGGGCCGTTTGTCAAGCTGCCTCCGAAGAGGGACTGGGCGGATTACTATCTGATCATCCAGAACCCGATCTGCATGAAGGACATTGAGAAGAAGATGAAGAAGGAGGAGTACGGCAGCCTGGGGGCCATGAGGAGGGACCTGGATCTTTTGATCAAGAACTGCAGGACTTTCAACGAGGAGACGAGTGGGATTTGCATGGACGCTAGGATTATAGAGGTTTGCTTCCCCTTTTCTTTTTTTGTGTCTCGACACGGTTACTAATTTGAGAAAAAACAGCAATTCTTCATCTCGGAATTCGAAAAGGAGCTCCAAGACCCTGACCTGCGCGCGTTGGACGAGCCGGCGAGCTCGTCGGCTGCTGGGTCTACCAAGGACACGTCTGTTGCGCCGTCGCTGACGGGTGACACGCCTCAGCCTTCCTCGGCTGCCCCTCCAGCCGGACCGACGCGAATCAAGTTGGTGTCCAACAGCGGGTCAAACGGCCAATTGAATGGCGGGGTGGGAAGTAGCAGGGCGCAGACGGAGGAGGATTAGAGAGATCAAAGAGGGAATGGGTATGATTAATTGGATTTATTGTATTAACGTATGGGTTTTTTTTTCCTTTTACCTAATGTGGGTTTTTATGGCGGTGGTTGGTGGGGTTGGTGTTGAAATGATTTTTTTGGGCGTCGTGGCGTTGTAGTCTGTGGTTTTTCTTATTTTTCTTTTTTGTCTCGGTGGGAACTTGAGGAAGGGAGGGGGGAAGGAAAGGGAAAGAATTTTTCAGCGAAGGTATGGATGGCTGTTTTTGCAAGGGGGGACTAAACTTACTTTGCTTGTGATTTTTTTTGATTGAGAGTTGGGGTGGGGGGGCCGGGGGGGGGCCGGTGAGATGGTGAATGATGGAGCGAAGGGGTTGTACAAGATAGGGAGAGGGGGAGTTGTAGTTTCTAGTGGAAGAGCAAAGAATCTCTTGTCTTTCGGTTTTACATTTTTTTTTTTGGTGATGGGCTGTGTGAGGATGGGATGGGAGATGTGGGGATCGTACATGGTGAGAAAGGGTACTGTGTGTAGCTTTTGTAAACAGAATAGAGCCAGATCTCTTGTAGCTTTTTGCAAGGTTTTTGGCGTGATTGCTACATCCTTGGAGCGCAATGTACTTGGTGGTTATCAGCTGTCAGCTCTACACCTTCCACCCACGATCATCATCCACACCTATGGTAGCCCAGCTGCAAAAAAGCAAAACTTCGATGATAATGATGGAAAACAGAAAGTGGTGTATGTGGTGGTATGTATGTATGTATGTATGTGGGCCAAAAGATGGGCAAAAGAAATGCTCATGCTGTGGAATGCCTACTACAGGAATCGAACCTGTGCTCTTCGCATTACAAGTGCGACGCCTTACCACTTGGCCAAGCAGGCTTGTGCTTTGCTGTTTGATGTTTATATGGCTCAGGATCGGCCTTGATGTCCGCCTGCTCTGCAGGATGACGAAGCCACAAACAGAAGGTCATCATCGTCGATGTCACATCTCGTCCATTGTCCCCTGATATAGACTTTCACATTTAACGCTGACACTCCTCAACACCGAGCTAGTGAAACCAAAACATGTGAGTGTAACACATCATGTTCTCCTTCTAGCTAAAACACCATCATACATATATCATATCCAAACCGTCTTTAAACTCACGTCTAATTCACAACCCATAACCCATCCCAAAAACACCCAACTCCGACCTCCAAAACATGCAATCGCTTTCAACCCACACGCCACCAAACCATCTACCTAATCCTCAAAACAAATCAATAACATCCAAAATCAATGCCCCTCCACCAAAGAATTACACCCCCCCAAAACCACCATCCCCACCACCCCCCAAAAAATACTCAACCGCCTGTCATGCCCCAACCCCAAGCTCTCCGCAAACAGCTGCAAACCCACACTCGTCATAATCCCCGCTGTCACCGCAAAGATAACCGCGTACGCCGTCGCATTGATCTCGAGCTGCTGCCTGTTCGCAATCTTGAACCACACCACCGCTATGCTTGCCCCCAGGGGCTGCGACAACCCCCCCAACAGCGAAGACCAAGCAATGGCCTTGAAGCGGGACCCGAGAGCCATGTAGAGGGGGAGTGACATGGCAAACCCCTCGGCAATGTTGTGAACAAAAAGAGCCATAAAGACGTTGAATCCGAGGGCCGAGTTCACGTGGTTGGTTGCGTAGGTTATGAAACCCTCTGGGAGCTTGTGGACTGCAATGGCGATGACGGTTTGGAGGCCAATGGCGAGGAAGGCGTTGGTGGGGACGTGGTGGTGGTGTTGTTGGTGGTCGTTGTCTTCTGGTTCGGAAGGGTGGGAGCAGCAGGAGGAGATGCTGGATGCGTCGGTGGGGTCGGTGGTGTGGGAGTGGGAGTGGGAGTTAGACTCCTCGTGGGCATGGCCATGGTGGTGGTGGTGGTGATCGTGGAGAGAGGCACAGGAATGGGAGCGGCTGATGTTATGGCTGTGGTGGTGGGAGCTGGTCACCGACTCAACGTGGTCTTCGGCGATGGTCGCGGGGATGGACTTGATCGTGGCGTTCCGGGACAGTGCCGTGCGGCCGTTAACGTGCTTAAAGCATTCTTGTCCACAGGGGTCCGTGTATCCGAAGCAGGGCCCGTCTTCGTCGCAGTTTGGTTTCGTGTCCTTGAAGAAGGACATTACTCGCTTAGAGAAGAAGGAGGGTCTTCTAGACTCGGAGGGTCGGCGGGTGTCGATGCTGGGGAAGTGGGTGATGACCTCCCCCCCGGGCTCGGCGTTGCCGTTTACCACTGGAGTCTGTATGTGTGCGTTTCGTTCGGTGGGTAGTAGCGGGGTGGCCTCGTTGACTTCCACCATGCTCGGGGGACCCGATGGCCGCCGGGATTGCCGCCGGTGCAAATGTGCCCTCGAGTGGTGGTGGTGCCGGTGAAGTTGGGACTCTTCGTCGGGGATTTCCTCGTGTGTGTGGTCACATTCCACTATGTGCGACGGGAGGTACTGGTGCAGGACGTGTGATATGAGCTGGATGCCAAAGAAGCCCCCAACAAAGCACCCCATCATGAGTAATCCCGCCTTTTGCCTGTCCCACTCATCCTTAAGAAGATAGCGCATGGCCGAGGGAAGCATGCTGTTCAATGCCGAGAACACCATGACACCGAAGCTCAAGCTGAGGGAGCATGCGAGGAAGACATTGCTCTCTTGGATGCGGAAGTCGCGCTGGCCGGGTATTAGGCGAACAAACACGTCGATGCATATTATTGAAGCGCCCGCGATGCATGCTAGACAGAGAATTCGAGGTTAGCGAAGTGGACAAACAATTGACAGGAATCCGCCTTCAAAACGGTGAGAACTGCTCGTCGCATGGCGTCCTACACGACCAAACGGCCCTCGGGAATGATTGCGTCACGCACCTATACCGCTCACCGCACACATTATCCATCCCCTCGTGTCATTGTCCAGGTCGCCTTGGACCATGATGAACTGGGTGCAGTCCGCTCGCTCGCTCGCTCGAATACTATCTAGGTCCGTTGGTGTCTGTTTTTTGTTTTTTTTGGTCTTTGCAAACGGTTTGTGGGGGACGAGGAACCCTGACTCGCGGCTTTCAAGGTGGTTGTTCTCTGTCGGTAGGTCTAGCTCCGGTGTCTGGATTACGGATTTGGTGCAGTCGAAGAAAGATTGACATTCGACAATGTTGGGATCAGAATCAAAGGAATGAATGGAAGGTATCAGGAAACGAGGGGGGCGGGAGGCGAACAAAAGGAACCCCAGTTAGGTTGTCGTGGGTGTCATGCGGCAAAGGTGGGTAGGCTTTGAGAACCTCGATGGCCTTTTGCCTTCTTTCGGTACTTGTCAAAAAGCGACCTTCCTCTTTTCTGTCCTTCGAGACTAAGCCTCCGATCGCTCCCCGGAGAAATGCCAACTCGAGCAGGTAATACTCTATCTATGACTTGGCCGTACGAACACCCTCTTTGAAGCGATAAGGCGGCCTTGCTTGTTGGCCAATGTGCCGGGTGTCATATGTGCGGCAGAGACAAAAAAAAATGATTTGAAAGATAAGCAGAACTCCCTCCCCCACTACATCCAGATCCCACCCCATGGCATCATCGTCATCATCATCAAACTCCGCCGTGGAGAGTTGCGCCCATCCCCCGCCATGGCTGTGGAACAAGGGTCTCTTTGACCGCCCAGCCTCCATTGCCAATCACCAACAGGGCTGACCTCACTCCTCAGCGGGCACCTTGATGGTTTGCTGAAGAAGGTGTCTCGACGTGGCCATTGTGTCGCCTGTGCTACAGAAAAGCATCGCCTCGTGGGCACTATCGTGTAACTAGAGCTAATTAACTCCCATGCGAACCATGCTTCTATCCCATTTGTGCTCCCATACAGATAATTCATGATCTTCCACTTCTTCAATCGATGAGGCTCGGTGGGGTCGAATGCTTGAATCTGTCTGACCCCACGGTGCCTTGCAGGGGTCTTTTTACTGCCGATCAACAAATCACGGGAATTTTTTCCAAGACAGCCTTGCCCACCCACCACCATCACCACCACCACCACCATCCAAAGGCTGAGACAACCTTGATAGACACTCTTCAGCGGTGTGGCCACCTCTTCAACCACAACACCACCATGTCAAAAGTAACCTTTGCCATCGTCGCCGGCGCCGGCGCAGCAGTCGGAGCAGCAGCCACAGCCGCCCTCTTCAACAAGTCCTCCTCCTCCTCCCCCGAAGGCCCCAGGGCCCCTTCTTCTCCCTCCCCCGCCGCCGCCGCTCCCGGTGCCAAACCCCCATCCAAACCCCCCTCCGGCCCCTCCCCCGTCAACCCCTCGGGCCTCTTCGACTACGGCTTCCCCGGCCCCACCTCCGACCTCGCCTCCCGCACCTCCTTCATCTCCTCCTACGACCGCCGCACCCGCAACCCCCACTGGGTAGCAGAGCACATAACCCCCCAATCCCTCTCCCTCAAATCCGGCGACCGCAAAAACTCGCAATTCCTCGAAGACCCCTCCATCCCCGAAAAATTCCGCGCCAAACTCAAAGACTATTTCCGCTCCGGCTACGACCGCGGCCACCAAGTCCCCGCCGCGGACTGCAAGTGGTCCCAGTCCGCCATGGACGAGACGTTTTACCTCAGCAACATGTGCCCCCAGGTCGGGGAGGGGTTCAACAGGGATTACTGGGCGCATTTTGAGGATTTCTGTCGGAGGCTAACAAGCAAGTATCCCAGTGTGAGGGTGGTGACGGGGCCGTTGTATCTGCCAAGAAAAGAGGAGGACGGGAAGTGGTACGTCAAGTACGAGGTGGTGGGCAGCCCGGCGCCGAACGTGGCGGTGCCGACGCATTTTTACAAGGTTATCTTTGCCGAGGAGAAGGACTCGAAAGATGGGCCGGTGGCGGTGGGGGCGTTTGTGCTGCCCAATGCGGTTATTTCTAATAGCAAACCTCTTCAAGAGTTCGAGGTCCCGTTGGAGGTGGTGGAGAGGGCGTCGGGGTTGGAGTTTGCGGACAAGTTGGATGTGAGGAGGAGGAAGAGGCTTTGTGCCGAGACGAGCTGTAGTGTGATTGTCAAGGAGTATGCGCAGAGGCAGAAGGCTTTTGAGAAGAAATAAAGGGGGGAAGGAAGGGGGTTGTGTATATATAATCTGCTGTAGGTAAATATGGAGAAAAATAATAATCAACATGTGGTAACTGCCTTTCGGGGTGCTGTGTGTAGGGTGCTGTGTGTAGGGTGCTGTGTGTAGGGTGCTGTGTGTAGGGTCTGCCCATAATGCGGCCCCGTCACGTAAGCTCATGTTTGCTTATTTTCCATGCAACAGTTTAACTGCCTGGGAGATGAAGCGCCCCTACCTTATCTATGAGGCAGTTCGTGAGCTGGTATACACTACAAAAAACATACAAACTACGGGCCCGCCAAGAGAAAATCAAAGGAAAGATAACCTTAGGTTCTGTAGCTGTGTATAAAATCCAAGCGTCAATCAGATCAGGAACAGCTGACACAGTTTACGGGAGAAAACACTAGCCATCTCAAGCTGATGGACATTCTTTCAAATTGAAAATGCGCTAGATAGTTTGTTTTCCTCTGCTAGACCTCACTTCTTCTCTGTTCAAATGTCGGGCTTTGCAACTTGGCCCGTTGCCGTTACACTTGCAAGATACTAGTATCATGAGCATCGACGACTAGAAGGCGGATAACAAGTGTATCCCTACATGACCCCTAAATTCCCTTGAATCTTGCGTTGGTTGAACATCCCGCGCACGTAAAATACTTCTATTCTTCAGGAATTCACCAGCCGTAGTTGGCTTGTGTCGGTGGATTAAGGTATGGAACATCAGCGGTGTAATGACCCTGACTGAGGCGCACGTAGGCTGGACTGGAGGGGCGAATGTGTTGGTCGCAGTTGAACTGGATATATTGGGAGCAACTTGGAGCGGGAATCGGAATGGTATTCAGGTGGGTAAGCCTATATATTGCAGTGTTTATTGGGTTGCCAATCGCAATGATAGTTGGAGTGGCAGCTGGAGCGGTAGTCCAAGTGGTAGTCTGAATAGCAGTGGGAGTGGTGGTTGAAGCGTCAGTTCCGATGGAAGTCGGAGTCTTGACAGCAAGCTTGTCGATCGAGTCTTTGCGATCCCTGGCGCGCTGTTCCAGTCTCTCTGGCCCAAGAGTCAGAGATACGCCCTTTCCATGGCTAATGGAGACTGATGACGAAGTCGGTGTCGTGATGGTCAGAGTAAGGTGTGAGGGTGTCATTGAAAGCTGAATGTTTGTTCCAAGGGTTTCATCCTCAGTGTCAATAGGAGTGATGGAGATGGAAGGGGCAGCCGAGGGGGGAACTGAGATAGATCGTATAGGTGTAAAAGGGTTGCCCTCAGCTCTTGCTTTCTTCAGCTCGTTTTCCAGGCTCTGAACCCTAGTTTTCTGCTTATGTAGCCGTCTCACAGCTTCCTCGAAAAACTCAATGAAGTACCTCCACGATGAGTAACCCCTTTCTTTGTCTTCAACGGTGCTCTTGTCACAGACGGCAGTCTCGTAGTATGCCTGCCAAGCGTCGTGTTCCCATTCATAGAAGTATTCAGTGGTCGGGTGGATGTCAACGAGGTCGGAAGGCTTGAATTTTGGTGGGGATTTCTTGGGCCATTTTGGCCGGGACTGTTGGTTGGGAGACAAGGACCATGAGGGATTGCAGAGAAGCGAAGTTCTTGACGAGCGATATTGTATGTAGTTTTGCGGGAGAAAAGAGGCTCATCAACCTCGCGCCCAAGAGCAAAAACTCTAAATTTCTGAACTCTGTTTCTCGGTTCCGAAGCAGCCATCGACGTATACTGCTGCCCTCGGAGATTCCAGGACAGGGACCGGAACCTACCATCTTCAGATTACAGCTTGCTCATCCGTAGCATTGTGACACGGGTCAGCATGGGTTAATTCGCTTGACATGTTCTGCTATTGAGGTCGATCCCCGCTTGATGTATTCTGCTTGTGACTGGTTTTGACGTGACTGACTTTGACTGAACCTGTTGACTCCAGGAAATAACTCCTCTCACCCTTCGCAATACATAAGATATCTTCCTCCCAAACTCTTCATTCCAATATTCTTCTACTTGGCACTTCTATCTTTAGGAATTCGACTACCATATGACGACAGCAATGCTAACAGAAGCCCACCTCCCCCCTTCTTACTATTACACCACTCACCCCTCCGGCGCTGTCCTCACAACAACAACCAAACGGTTAAACCTTAACATCGGCGGTCTCAGCGACGAAGAGGCCGCCGCAGCCCTCTGACAATGGGCGGCCTACTGGCACCAGCTTGCCTTGATCGCAACCGAATGGCTCGAAGTCGCGGAAGCCGCCACCTAAGACCACTGCCACCACCAGTAACCCCCACCCCCAACCCGGAGGAGCGAAGAAAAAGAAGGGAGAGAACAAGTCAAACGTATATTCTGTCGCGCAATTCAACGGCTTAACACTCTATCTCCCTCCAAAAGAGATGACAGCGTGGAAAAGTCTTATCAAGCGGCGGCACAAGACGCGCGAGGACGCACCTGTTGGGAGCACTGGGGGAGAAGGGTCCTCAACTGGATCTAAGAAGTAGGGTCTGAGGCAGTGGTGGTTGAGCAAGTTGTTGTTGTACACACAAATATCAATACATGAGTCAACCATCGTTCACAATCACAGAGAAACAAACACCAGCCAACATCGCCCGCTTCGTGAGTATTCTCGGCCCAGGTGAGTGATCTCCATCATCCCAATGAATATCTACCTTTGTCATCTCAATCCCCTTCTCCCAATGTTTCCCATCATACCAACCCCTATCAACCCCAGCACCCGCAACTCACATATCAACACAGGACCAGTCCAAGTAGCGCCATCCCACTAGGTACAACAATGTCCATCCCCAATAGAAACCCCTCCGAAGACGATACTCGCACAGCGACTGAATTCATCGAAACATCCAGGTCGCTCCTGCGTCGC